AAGAGTGGAGTTTGTACTTGAAAAAGTCCATACCAAGTGTAAATCTGCAACTCATTTGACGGAGTGTTTCCTCTGCTGTATTCACTGACAGGGTTGTGCCGACCCGTACTACAAAATACCCGTAATAAAAGTGGACATGTCTGAAACAGAAAAGAGAACCCATGATATATTTTGCAATGTTGAATTTAAAAGAGATTTTTGTACACCATAGTGAACATGTATGTATCATCCTTGCAAATATGTAAGATTGAATGAATGTGATCCAAAACAAAACCTGTAATTGGCAAAGTGTGGAAACTAAGTTGAGTTAAACATATTAAACACCTTTTAGTACATAAGCAGCTAGAATATTAAAACGTTGAATACCTTTTCTCTATCAATTGCGGGGGTGGCTTCTTTCTCTTTATCTTCCACAACTTCCACGGTCGAAGCCATGATGCCGCTATTGATGCGCAAGTAACTACGCGCAACTTCCTGTTAATAGCAGCTTCGATAAGTAGTTGTTAGATTTTCCGCTTGGGGCGCTTGTGAAGTGTTAAACGCGCACTTTGATCACTTTGCTTTCAAGATACTGAACTTTAAAAATACTGAAAAATATTCTTGATATTGAGAAGATGCAGGGGCGGATCCAGGATTATTTTAAGGTGGGGGGGGGGGGGGGGGGGAGAGGTCGGTTTCGCATCCGCGGACCAAAAGCTTTCCGGAAGTGCATTTTCAAATGTAATTCACTAAGCTGTTCGTACATATCATATGTGTATGTGGGCCGTTTGAAAATAATGGTTATTTTTTTATATAAAATATCAGAAATTTTGCAAAAAATGTTGCAATGTTAAAATGAGAAAGCATTTCAGACCTGAAAAAGGCAATTTTATCTCTAATATATGACAAAAAATATAGCCAAAATGTCAGGTGTGTTTTTTAAGCTGATAGACTGCAAATAATTAATGTATTTTTAATTGTGATGTACTTCTTGCTTCTAGGCCTAAAATACTGAATAAATGGATTGGAACTTGATCTCTCATTATACTGTGTGTTATATTATTCATGAACCATAAGTGGAGCTTGTTCGATGTTTTCATTGTTGTTTATGGTAATACTTAGTTTTCATTTTGTATATCAAATCTTATCATTGATGAATAAATTATTTTTAAGGGAACAAAACTGACCCAAGGTAGAGATAAAAATGTGTTAAGATTGCGTTTGGTGTGATAGTTAAATCGCAATCGTTGTTGAGACAGACATACCAGTCAATGTCAGTATTTGAATGCGTCCAAATCGGCCTACACCCGATTTCACCTCATCCATACTACTGTAAATTAAGGTAAATATAATCACCACTTGAGATTCTACACCTCCGTAGTCTAAAGTTGTGTTATTGTAACTAACGTTACAGCAACCGCGGCGGTCCATGACGTTGCTACCTCTTATGACGTCATAACCATTGTCGTGTTGGATTGTTGGAAAAGGTCAGTTTTTGTGTTGTTGAGGAGAAATTCTTCTCTTTACTACTAAAAAAAGGTGAAGTGTTGGTAGGGCTACAGAAAGCAGGACTTGAAAACATTGTGTTGTTTCCTGATGTTACTGAAAGTTTCGATTTTGTGTTGTCAGCAACCAAAACCGAGTGGCCATTTCGAAAAAAGGGTAACCTTGGATTCCGTTAAAAAATACTAATTTTCTCAACAAGCAGATGATCTACAGTATGTCAACAGTAGTGTTAACCTGATCGCGATCGACCTGGCCTAAAGCGAGGCTGTGGGTGCCGCATAACGTCATTCTAGCCAAGAAAAGCCACCTGATGCTGTGCTGAAGCCACTCTGATTTAATTTTTTGGGTGACATCCTGTGGAGACCCCGAAACTTATGTGAGAGGGCGAAAAGAAAAAACAGCAAAAAAGTGCTGCTAAAATAAAGGAATACACAGCTGCAAACTGTGTATTGGCTCATTCCCAATTTATGCCTCGGCCACAACCGGACGCACGGATTTTAGGATCGTACGTCCATCGAATACCCGATGAACTTCTTTGCAGTAAAAGACATTAATTGAAGACCATGTATAATTATTGGAAATAAAAATACTAAATAAGAATNATCTACAGTATGTCAACAGTAGTGTTAACCTGATCGCGATCGACCTGGCCTAAAGCGAGGCTGTGGGTGCCGCATAACGTCATTCTAGCCAAGAAAAGCCACCTGATGCTGTGCTGAAGCCACTCTGATTTAATTTTTTGGGTGACATCCTGTGGAGACCCCGAAACTTATGTGAGAGGGCGAAAAGAAAAAACAGCAAAAAAGTGCTGCTAAAATAAAGGAATACACAGCTGCAAACTGTGTATTGGCTCATTCCCAATTTATGCCTCGGCCACAACCGGACGCACGGATTTTAGGATCGTACGTCCATCGAATACCCGATGAACTTCTTTGCAGTAAAAGACATTAATTGAAGACCATGTATAATTATTGGAAATAAAAAGACTAAATAAGAAAGTGTTTTGATAGTAATGCTGTGATCTAAATAACTATTCTGATTTGTTTTTATTTTAATTGCGGATTACGGTCAAATGTATAGTGGTGCAGTATTGTAGATGAAGGATATTGCTCTTCTAAATGTAATCACCCTATCAAAAGATAACTTTTAACGATATTAAAATAAAATGACAAAGAAGAGTTTATTTAAATAAATGCTTTCTTTTTACTTGAAGATGCACTGTGTGTGTGCTAGCTGCATCCCCCTCTTTCGGTAATCATTTACTTTGTTTAAGCGTAATTATTGTCCAATTTTTATTTTCAACATATCACTGATTATTAAAATTTCACTTTTTTCAGTTCATTAACTTCTAGATAAAATTTGGCTTTAAAGTATTTAACATAGTGAGTAGATTTAGTTTTTCATATAAGGCCGCATTCAGAACAGTGGACTTACTAGTCCGAGAGTCAAATATGGCCGATCCACTATTCAGCATCTATTAGCGGATAAGACGACAAGCTTTGTAGTGGGTCGCCATATTTGACCCTCGGACTAGTTAGTCCACTGTTGTGAATGCGTCCTAAGAAAACAGAATTTTAATATATTATTTGTTCATAAATCCAGTTCCATATAACACTGGGGTAATGTCAGCCGCCATGCACGACTTGTTAATTTTTCTTGGTTTACATTTGACTTGAGCTATAAATAGCAAATTATCACTTTTTTTCCCACCGGGAGTTGGAATAAAAAAAGACAATTTAAAAACGATAATGAAATCTATGAAAACCAAACAAAAGAGTCACAGAAGTATTTATTCTTTTTTTGTCACATTNGAAAAAATGACTAAGAGGGCAAATGAGAAAAAAATCAAAGAATGGAAAAACCAAAGAAAGGTGGAGATAATCGCCAAAACTTACCTGCAATGAACAGCAGTATTGCATATGTTATAATCGTCATTTTTAAACTGGCCAT